GACAGACAGACAGACAGACAGACAGACAGACAGACAGACAGACAGACGACGTCAAATTAATTTTGCAATTTCACCCTAAAACAGGTTGCCAAAATAATGCCGGATCTCCCCCAACGAGGTGACTGAAATTATTGAAATTAGACGAGGCGAGGTGAATAATTTCAAAACATTGAATTAAGACGAGGTACGCGGTGAACGAAACTAATCAAGCGAATTTAATTCACCCAGGTTCTGTACGTTGAAGATTCAGGCACCATGATGAACTCAGATACTACAACTACAATGCATTGATTTGGTGTCAAGCCTCATCCAGTGTGACAGTGAGACTGATGCCATGCATCGCATCATCTTCGAGTTCAGAAGTTCGACGCATCGCGCCACCGATGCCGCGATGGTTCCTTCTTCTCCCCGATTCCGTCCGGAGACCCGAATTCGCAGACGGGACGGGCGATCGCCCACGCCACGTGTAGAGCCGACGAGGTGCCACACGTCTTCGGCCGCGCTGGCGCGAGCTGGGCTCCCTCTGCGCAGCTGGACAGCGACTGGGCACGGTCTGCGGAGCTGGGAAATGCGAACGGAAACCAAAACAACCAGCTGGAGGAGGAATCATTGAGGCAAAGTGAACAGAAGTGAGTTGCTATGTTCGTTTTCGGTCAAGACCTCATGTTGTCCCTTTGGAACGTGTCGAAAGTGAACATCCATGTGGCTTGAAGCTTTTGAGTTTGGTTCAGGGTGCCTCACAACAACCACGTCAAATGTCCGGCTAAACCACTTCCACCCATTGTGGAAGGAGAGTGATTATCACAGATACATATTGAACATTGAGACCATCTATTTCTCGGAAATAATTTTCCCGTGTGGGCATGCAACAGCTAGCCCACGTCCCCGCTTTTGGGACAGAGGATACGATCGCCTGTGTACGGACCCAAACACAGAAGACTCACAAAAAGTGTTCTAGAATTTCTAGATAGGATCGAGGCCATCGCTCTTAGGTTGGAAGCCTAAGACCCAAACTAACACTGGAAATTCTAGAACACTTTCCAGATTCAATTAGGTCGGAAGCTATTAGGTTCCTTAAAGTTTTTCCCTGAAGTTTTACCAGAAACGGAATGCCTACGGATGCCTACGGCTCTTCAGATTCACAAGTTGGAGGTGAACACCATCAGCAGCTGCGATCGTTCTCGCCGTGCCAGTTGATGTATCCTATTGACCATGTTTGGGGGGTGACGAGCTGGTGCTGGAGCTCTCCCTTTAACGATGATGTCCAGTTGTTGTTTCATTCCCGAGACCAGGCGGTTGTTGGCGTGTGCAAACGCTTATCGGATGAGCTCGTGAATCGCGACTCATTAAAACTGAAACTGCTTCCAAGGTTTCCAGGTGAGCAAGAAAACTTCTGGTGCAAAACCGTTCGGATGGTTCCGCATCCAAGAACGACCTCATCCTTATGCGCATTCCTCACCGTCTTTCAACCTTCAGGCCAAAAAAACACTCAGAGCATGAGTTTATCCCCAAGAAGGCAACTTTTGGTCATAGGTGTCCATGCATCCTCAGGTTCCAGCGTGCGGCAGAACTTGATGCTTGGGAACAAGTGCAAAAGGATTTGTGTGGGTCGAAAACCCCCATCCTGGGCCAACAAAGTCAGCAAGCCAAGTTGCGCTCCAAAGTTAACGGTATACACAGGGGAAAAAAAGCGCACCTTCTGTTCAAACACCGAGACCCAACACCCAAGACTCACGCGTTCGGTCTCATCACGAGGACTGACTGTTGGCCCGCGTTTTTTGGAGACCGAACAAGCCAGGGCATTATTTTTGGAACAGAACCACCAGGGAGAGGAGCCCCGTTCGTAGCGTCCTTGCTCCTAGTGGAGCTCCTAGTAGCATCCTTGTTCCTAGTAGCTTCTTGCTTCTAGTAGGGATGCCCTTTGTTCCTAGTAGCTTCGTGTTCCTAGTAGTAAGGCCCTCTGTTACGTTCGGAGCTTCTTGTTACCAGCAGAAAGGCCAGGAGCGCCCCATTCGTAGCGTCCGATCGCTCCGTTCGTAGCGATGCCCTTTGTTCCTAGGCCCTAGTAGCACCAAGTTGCGGCGAGGATACATTCTTTATGGCAACCTGTGTTATTCAAGAAAGCGTCTCGTCACCCAACACAATGGATATGTGGAATATGCGCTTATGGATCGGACCCGGCTCTTCAGCAGGCCTTGCTGAAGCGTTAGAACTTGCGTTTGGTGTGTGAGAATTCGGGGATTCGCTCACACAACCTGCACCGAACCCGTGCATGGAAGCTGTAAAACAGTAAACATGGCCCGGAATAGGCTGAATGCTGGACGGCCTGGCAATGCGCACGAATTCGAAGCCCAGTCAGCGGATCACCTTCGGGATTGGGTGTTTCACCCCGAAAGACCAACCAGGAGATGTTCGGTTCACCTCTGGCCCTTCAGTGCCACCATTTCGGCCGGAACAAGTGCCTTACTAGCAGTAACAAGAAGCTAGTAGTAACAAGTGCATCGCTTCTAGTAACAAGTGCCTTACTAGTAGTAACAAGAAGCTAGTAGTAACAAGTGCATCGCTTCTAGTAGTAAGTGCCTTACTAGTAGTAACAAGAAGCTAGTAGTAACAAGTGCATCGCTTCTAGTAGTAAGTGCCTTACTAGTAGTAACAAGAAGCTACTAGGAACAGCGTCGCGTCGTTGAGTCCGGACGAAAGCCCAGGAACGACGTTATGCGGGCGAGACAGAGCGCTGGGTGGCTGCCTTGGCACAGCTAGGCCGCATTGTTCGGTTGAAATAGGATTGGTTTGTGGTAGCTTCTTGTTACAACGGGTGAAACGATACGACAGGTGAAAGGATTCCCAAGGAAGCTTCTAGCTACTAGTAGCGCCTCCAACCTACTTGCGATGGCCTCCACCCAATAGCGTCCTTGCTACTGTGTTGAAAGCTATGAAGGTCAGAGCCGAGCAAATCGTCGAAACAAACAGCTTCAAATCCTAAGGCGGTCCTAGCCTAGCTGTGATCAAGAGTTTGCACATTTGACTCAACCTTGTCTAGAAAGAGCTGTCCACTATTGGGAACTCAGTGCAAGCGCACGAATCCGCGACATATTCTTCGACGAAACCCCATGGCTGTCTGACGGAGGTCATGATGTTCCTCCAGACTTCTTGCTGTCCTTCCAGGAGCTTTGCAACCTTCTGGGCCGCTTGTTCCAGCTTTGTGAGAATCTCATCGAAGACCCTCCGTCGGAGGCGGAAAAAGAGATCGACTTTTCACATAAAGGGGACTTGGACCGCGAGAATTGCTGCAGCGAAGACTTCGGTGATTCAACACTAAACCGAAAGCAAACATAGCCTCGCTTCCATAACTATATATATATGTGTGTGTGTTTGTTTTCTACATTGCCATCAGTGCGCCAGTTCGATAGTCTAGGCTTGAGCAGAACTGAGGCCGTAGTCATGCCTCTCCCACGAGATCCCCGCTTTCACGCGACATCTGCGGGGAGTCGACCGTGCCGGCGGTGGAACCCACTGGTTGCAGTTGCAGGCAGGACGCGTGGGGACTCGGGCACGGAAGGTGATGCAAGGTGGGAGAAGGTGATCACTGGCGTGCTTCATATAGTGGCGTCGCTTCTCGCTCCGTTCGTAGCGTTGCCCTTGTTACGTTCGTAGCGAACCTTGTTCCTAGTAGTAAGGCCAGGAGCCCCTAGCAGCGTCCTTGCTCCTATCCTTTGTAGATCTTGACAGAGATCCACATGCAAGCAGCACATGTGCCGGGCTGGACTGAAAGTGAGAGTATGGGATCCTCACAGGGTCGTGGACTCGCTTGCTGCGGGTCCAAAACCTGACAGCGAACTTCTGGCATCTAGTAACAAGGATGCTATTAGGTGGATGCCGTCGCTGTAGGTTGGAGGCCATCGCTACTAGGAACAAGAAGCTACTAGTTTAAAAAAAAGAAACGGGATCTTCAACATGTTCACCGTATTTCTTGACACGAACCAGGTTTTCAGCCCTCGAACTCCCCGTTTCTTAGGGCGGAGCCCGTGCACTGCTTTCAGCCCCGTGCACGTCTTTGGGGGCGACGGGTGCGGCGCGCTGTGGTGGCCGCCTTTGATCTGCAGATACCACTGGATGAACCTTACAGGAAGTGTGGCAGGGCAGGGTGGGCAGTGCATGGCAGTGCATGGCAGTGCCTGCAGAATGTCAGGTGGGTGTGTACTTGTAGCTCAAATAGGAAGACCTCCTAAAGTTCCTAAACAACCCCTGCAAGGTTTGGGAAATAGACCAATCTACCCCGCCAGGGCCACAAGGTCTCCCTATTGAAATAGACCCCAGGTATCTAGTAATATAGAGGATTGAACAAAATCGATGGTTTTCTGGCCACGCCCTGGTTGGTTCGGTTTCAGAGGTTCTGGGGACCAGATGTTTTGGTCGCCAGAGATGTTGTCCATCACTCAGTGAGACTGTGAACACATACATACACATACATATATTCCAACTCACTAACACGGAAGTGGAAAAACGACCTGTTTCGGCTTCAGTCGTCTTGTGGCCCATGCCATCCACTTCATCCAGGTTCCGTTCGTTGTCGAGTAGACACTCTCCAAGCAGCAGTCTTTGGAGAGTCCCTTTCCACTCGCGGGCAAGAGAGCAAAGGTGCCGCAATGGCTGGAGCCGAAAATGACCGGAATGTTATCAAGGGGATGTGCAAGCAGTTTTTTGCCCCAAGTAGAAGTGCTTGACCATTTTGTGCACCCCGAACTTCCATGGGTGTCAAAAAATCACCACAAAGGTTCGGTTCGCCCCCTGTCCTTCTTGCGCCAACCAAAAAGTGTCGGAAACTGTGTCAAGTGAACTGTGAAATGGGATTGTCCAAATCTTTCTGGGCAATCTAGTGGTCAAATCCTTCAATTTGTTTTCTATTTCATGGCCATCATGAGCTGATGCGCAGGACCTGGGGAGTGCATGATGCACCCTTGGACTTCTTGATGAACTTTGATCTCAGCCTCACACCAGGCGAAACTGACCGTGTGGCTCAGTAGCAACGGACTAACTGGGATTGAAAGTCCCCCTGGTACGTGGGCAAGATGGTCAGGTGCCGTGATCGCAGGAAGATCCGTTTCATTTTCGGGCATGGTGACATACTTATACCATCTTATACCAAAGCAAGGGGGGTCAGTTGCTAGTGTGACAAGTCTGACGCGTCTCGAGATAAAACCTAGCAAGAGGCAAGCCAGGTAAGACAAACACTGGAGGAGCATGTTGGTCAAGTCCTCGAAATGTGGAAGTGCCGTCACCAACTGCCGGTACGCTCGGTACTCCGGGGTACGAAAGTGTTGCACTTTGGGGTTGGGCGTTTTTACGAAAGAAACCGAAAAGCAGCTCATGTCAACAGGCTTCCTAGGTTGGACATCAGCAAAGCACTAGCGAAGCACGTTTATGATTGGGTGGTGGAGGACTAACTGAAAGAAGAGGTGTGGGGCAAGCTTCACCATTGCTCCAAGCAGGAATCTCAAACGAGAGTGTGTGTGAAAGAGTTTCTCATGAGGCCAGTCCTTGTAGTCAACCGCAAGCCCTTTCTAAAGGCGGGCTCCTATTCTTAACTTATGTTGAATCTCTAAGGCCAGCATTTGCACCCGACTTACTTGTACTCTCTTGTACTATAGATGCTCGATCGACTGCAAGCACCGATAGAAGAAATGCTTCGGCTGGTTCCAAACCCTCGCAGAGTTGAACTCAGTGCCAAGAGGTGCAGGCTTCGGTAAGGAAAAGTCTGATGTAGAAAGAGAAAGCCAAATAGTAGCTTCTTGCTCCGTTCGTAGCGATGGCCTCCAACCTACTTACGATGGCCTCCACCTAAAAACGCTTCCTAGCTACTAGTAGCTTCTTGTTCCTAGTAGTAAGGCCAGGAGCCCCGTTCATAGCTACCCACCATGCACCCACATCTTCACACCGGATGAGGTGCTCTTGCTGCCCCGGGCACATCTGGCACTCTACCCGCTGACCACACGCACTCGCCGAAGGCAGGGAAAGGGACAGTTTGGGTTTGAAGGCAGGGCACCATCTTCTTAAGCAACAAAGCCGAAAAGTCAACAAAGTCGGACATGAAGATATCATGAATGAATCTCAAGCTAAGCCGTGTGTGTGTGTGTCTACATGACTAGTTCATGAAGGCGAATTCCAGCATAGGAAAAGATATCGAAAAGGCTCATTGGTTTGGATGTCTTCAATTTATCGGAGACCCCCCCTTAGTTTGTGGGTCAAAATGAATGAAATCAAGGAGCCGGGCGCAGCCAATGTCTGCCCATGTGCCCGGTCCCAAAGGGCGCCTCGGATTCCCTTTCGGACCAAAGAACCGCTGCTCGGGGCGTGAAACCCGAGGCTACAAGGTGCCAAGGTGAAGGTCATTGAGGTCCCATGGATTGAGCCTCCAGCGACTTGGATTGACTTCGGTGGCAAGGCTGACGCAAAAGCAGCAGGACAACGACGGACGACACACGACGTTGCGCGAAGCGTCGTTGGGAGGAGGTGATGAGAGGTTTGGAGCAGGACAGCTGGAGCAGGAGGACGCCAATCTGAGGGGCCTAACAGCAGTCTTTCTGGTCCCAGCAGGATACGTTTTGAGCTTGTCCAAAACCCAGTTAAAAACTGGGAAACTACCATAAGTTGAAACGAAAACCCATATAAGTAGGCATCACTTGGATACATCGTGATACATCCACGTCCATGTGTGTGTGTGACCTACGGATTGACATGCCACGCGGCCTCGCCAGCTGAGGGCGTCTCGCCCACGGTGGCTCAGCGCAACCAGGAGAACCACTTCGGAAACAGGGAGTACATCCGTATCTTGCCTTGAAGACTATGAGAGACCGTTTCAGCGTCGAAAATAAAGAGTCAGTGTTCTTTCTGAGAGGAGGGCTAGTTATATATATATATATTATATATATATAAACCTCTCGCGCCACACGATCCGGTGAGAAGCGTTGGCGGTATGCCAGCCACTCTGGGCTAAACATACGTGGAAACCCCTGTACAGATACATTTGTTGAATTGGGCGACTTTGAGACTTGTTGTGTGTATGAAACGATGTATCAGTGTATGTTGTCTACCTCATATCGTGGGCAGGGCCTGTGAGGAAAGGGGCTGTCGTCCATCAAGCGCGTTTTTGAAGTTGATCAAAAGAACATCAAGTACATCCGTTGTTATTTTGGGGAAGGTAGCAGCAGGAGAGCACAGAAAAGGGCACGCGGCGGAGGCAACCGACGTGTTGTGAAGACTATGTTTGCACGGACTGCCTTGTACACCTAGAGTCCATTTTACCTTTGTTTTGATCGGAAAAGGCTATTTTTGGGGGGGTGGTCGGAGGTCACCCAGGCTCTAGTTTTCCCTAGCCCTCAGAGAGCATTTAAAGGATGGGAAAGACCTGGTTTTGTAGTGCAAAATCCTTAGTCAAAGAAGTCAATGGTGGGCCATGAATCCTAGGGGGTTGCTGCACGCCGCGTCGCACGTGTGGCACACGAGGTTTGCACGCGATGAATTTGGACTATGACGTCGTGGTCTACTTGGACACCGACGTGCGGATTGTTGGGGATTTGAACCCCATTTTTGAAGAAGGTCCCTCAGGCAAAGAGCGCGAGGACACGGTCACCACTGAAAAATATAGATGTATATATATAGTCTATAGTTATATATCTGTGTGTATAGCAATCCAAGAGGTAACTTGGGGGGCGGGGAACCCTTAAGTGTAGAATATGTGTGCATATTGGAGTTGACCATGTCAAAGGAGACACACTCGCGCAGACCTTTAAAGGTTGCAGAGACGGGTCAGGACAGGGTCGGGTCGCCGCTCATGAGGTTGTGAGCCACCAGGCATGAGGGCGACCTGTGATAAACTCTGAGAAAGATGACCAAACCTTAAGCGCTCAAAAAACTGAGACAGTATTCCATTTATTCTGTAAGAATCCAAGCTAATTTGCCAACTGCACCACCCTACACACGATCGACACATGCAACGGTCTCCAAGAATCCCAGCCTCGCCACAGCTCCCTCACGCGGGCAAACTTCTTGGCCTGTTCATCCCCAAGACCATGTTGTAGGAGGTCATAGGAGGATTGATAGCGCCATGAAACCACCTGGTGTTCACCACCAGACCTGGAATGTCTAGTGTTTGTCGAACAACAAAACTCTTTTGAAAGCTTCAAGCTCTTGGACACTACAAAGGGTCTACCAAACACCTCGTTTGCTTCATCACCGAAACCCCGGTCTTTACCGTCGAGGCCAAGACCTCTTCGTGTCCACCGGCAGCACGGTGGCGCCCTTGGACGGCGGCTTCTTCGCGGTACGACCCAGTGGCTTCTTGGACGGCGAACGGACGGGGCGAGTGCCGGACGGGGGTGAAGAGAGGCCTCCAGTTCTGGATCAAGGCGGATGGTGAGGTGTTGCTAATTCTTGTAGTAACAAGTGCCTTACTAGTAGTAACAAAAAGCTATTAATTTAAATTAATTTTGACTTTAATTCTAATAGCTTCTTGTTACTACTAGTAAGGCACTTGTTACTAGAAGCGATGCACTTGTTACTACTAGTTCATGGTCCAGAAATGCCAAAACGCAAAAGAAATGCCCAGTACGAGTGTTCAAAGGAGATTAACCAGATACAGCAACTCCGGTGTTCGTTTGGACTCCATTCTAGGGCAAACCTGAGGTTCTTCATTGAACGTTGCCTTTTGCACTCATTGGAATTCAAATGCTCAGATCGATTTCGGAAAGGTGAACACCAAAGAAAGAGAAAAATAGATCCACTTCTCAAGTGTGTTGAACAGATGTTCTACCCTTCTGCAGAGGACGACCCTGAAAGCCACGTCAGGTGCTAGATGAGAATAGTCTTACAGGATTCCATTTTCATGGTTCATGTTAGTCTGCAGGGGGGTATTTGTTTGGAGACGACGGTAAAACTATACTGAAGGAATGTCAATGCGCGCTGCCGAAACCTGTCGAGTTCCCTTGAGCCTGATCGGGGGGGCCCCACAGCCCTTGTTAGCCCTTGTGTTCTCCATGTTTCTCAGCCAAGATGAATCCTCCCAACTCCAAATTGATGCAGAAAAGGGAGCTGACAAGCCACATCTCCGTGGTCAAGGGTCACAGATCCCTGAGCTGAGCTCAGGAGCCTTGTTCCGAGCCATGCTCGATGTCTTGCGCACGGTGCACTACGACCGTGAAACGGGCTGGAACAGGACGAAATGTGGGAAACATCACACTCGTGTCGTCGTCGTCGTCGTCACTCACCCTGCGGTGACCCTCCATTCTTCCTGCGGTTGTGCCAAAAGGAAGATCCGTAGAATCCGGACAAAAGGTGATCTCATCCTTATCCTGACCTGGTGATAGATCAGATCTGGCCAGTCTTGGGAATTGACGCACGTTTTTTGGTTGATATGAGAAAAAAACCTTCCACACCAGAGTTCTGAAACGTTGCACACACCCGGAAGATCATTGAAGTTTAAACACTTGTCGACGCTTCACACTAGAGCTCGGCAACCCTTGAAGAGCCCCGTGACGGAACGTCACCCTGGAAGGGTCTTTTTTCACCGTCGTATTCCGTGCCCGAAGTCAGGATGGGCCATGGCTACAGCTTGGCCACTTGGAGTCGAAACTTTCGATTCCGTTCTCAACAGTGGGCAGGAACATGGTAGTTTAGTGCTTCGGAAACACATGGTCATAAGAGTCATCATCCAAGTTGATGACCGATATTGGCTAAGACCTGCAAATGCTAGTAGAATCGCACGTTCAGGGCTCTTAGCACTATCCGTCCGAGACGTCATCCGTCACACCAGGTGCGGTCACTGGCATTTCCATGCTGAAAGAGGGTATGGGCGGTATGGGAACTTGGTGCATCTCCATCTGCGGAGCGGTTGAACGGGTTGCCGGGTATGGACCGTTCACGCACGGTACATGGACGAAATGGACCGCTTAAAGATATGGAAAGGTCCGGAGATCGTTACTGTGGTTGTTTCTCAACAAGAAGTGCTTTTGGGCGTGGACATAAAGCAGAGGAAGCAGATACAACATCATACTATCAAGGGAGTTCCTCGAACACTGGGGATTGCGTTGGAAAGTGAGGACCTCCTTCATAAACGCTGCAGGTGTGAACTTAAGACTTAAGACAATCAATCGGTATCATGAAAAAGGTATGGGTGTCAATCAAACTCCAACTGTTGTTTTAGAGCCCTCTCTCCAAGTGTGTTCGCCGTGCGAAACAGCTGAAGTAGATTGTAACAAGTAGAAGAGGTCTTCTTCTACCCTAGCAAGAGAGTGTGGTGCTTTTCCGCACGTAATGCACCGCCAGTCCAAAGCATCCAAAAACGTGGTTTTCTCGGACACATGGTGAGGCACTTGGACGCGCGGAGGGAAATTATCCCGCTGGCCCACAAGGACATCGTTGTAAAGATTTGTAAAGACATTTTTTTCAGTCTAGCGCCAGGAGCCATCGCTACTTGGTTGAAGGCCATCGCTGTTAGGATGGACGCCATCGCCATTAGGGTGGAGGCCATGGCTATTAGGTTGAAGGCCATGGCCATTAGGTTGGAGGTCATCGTGACCATTGGCATTCACGTCGTGCCGACTCTTTCGTCGCCGGTTTCGTCGGGCGAAAGTGGTGGGTATCCAGTCCGCGGGTCCTTTTGACTATTTTGGTATGGGAAAAGCTCAGTAGTACAAGACATGCTTGACTGATCTTGGCTGTTGGACTCCGCTCGAGTATATGTTTGTCCAAGTGCTGAAGGATCATGTGTTTTTTGTCAGACATCGGTTTGGATGGACAGCATCGAATGCGCTGGTGCAGCAGGGGGCCCTTGGAAGGCTCTCGGGAGGCTCAACAAAGTCCCTATGATGGAAGCGAAAAGAAAGACATCGCCTGTGTCGATACATGCACACTTGCGCACCGGTGTGCGCCCTCGGCTCGCGCGGAAGGCAGTCCACACCAAACGAGGTCGCCTGTGTCGGTACAAATAATAAGAGTAGCGAAACGACTCGACGTGGAAGTTTCGGTGATGTTGTCTCTTCTGTTTTTACGCAGATTCGTGTTTTCTCTTCTGGGCGCCCAAAGAAGCACAAGCTGGCACCAACTCCTCAGACCAACGACAGGATTTCTGTATCATTTCTTCTACATGGCCGATCCAGCAGTCGATGCTTGGCAGAGTCTATAGGGGACGATGCGCGAGGGAATGATTTTCTGACACTATTAAGATGGAGGCCATCGCTAGTAGGTTCGAGGCCATCGCTATTAGGTTGGAGGTCCCTGGGTCGGACCCATGCGTGGTGCTCAAGGACGGCCAGGGAGATGGGGGGCCGGGACGGGCATCCCGGCAGCATCCTCCGTTCGCGGCGGGGGCTGACTGCCCAGACGCAGGAGCGTCAAAAGTCAGGAGAGTCGTCGTCGTCGTCGTCGTCGTCGTCGTCGTCGTCGTCGCCGTCGCCGTCGCCGTCGCCGTCGCCGTCGCCGTCGTCCGTCGTCCGTCGTCCGTCGTCCTCCGTCGTCCTCCGTCGTCGTCCGTCGTCGTCCGTCGTCGTCCGTCGTCGTCCGTCGTCGTCCGTCGTTCGTCCGTCGTTCGTCCGTCGTCGGTCGTCGGTCGTCGGTCGTCGGTCGTCGGTCGTCGGTCGTCGGTCGTCGGTCGTCGTTCGTCGGTCGTCGTCCGTCGGTCGTCGTCCGTCGGTCGTCGTCCGTCGGTCGTCGTCCGTCGGTCGTCGTCCGTC